CAGAATCACAAGTGTGCTCTAGCGGAAAAAGCTGGAAACAGCATGACCCAAACAGTCCCTGCTTTCGTCAAAAACCGGTTGCTTCCGGGGGTCTTCAAAATCTCACTGTCGGTTATCTGGGTTAATGGCGATGCAAAGATAATGCATCCTCTTCTTCATGTTTAATGGCACAGTGTTACTCGTCTGTAATATTTGAGATAGGAAAAGTGGCGATTTCAATTATCCACGTAACAATAAAGTTCCCTCACTAACTAGCTCACAGTAAATTTTTCACTTCAGTCATGGACATTCCCAGACTGTGTAAGAAGTCGTTGGCCAGCATTATCCCAAGGCAAATTAGAAGCAAACAATAATCTGAGCTGTAATGCCTATAATTTTATTAATAGAAGTGCAGGCTGTGTATATGCAACGTGAAACACTTCCATAGCTGAAACTTCAGTCCTTTACAGAACGGAAATCGCCAACTTTGGTTCCGTTTCATGCGAACGGGCGAGGTATGGAGGTAGGGTGGTTGAAAGGTGGAAAAACCAACTGAAGTCAGTACCCAGAGGACGAGGGCGAAGGTGGTTCTCGAAACGTCGGTGTTTTCTCCATTCAACCACCTGACACGGCGATAGCCCGAGAAGAATCCATGTTCTAAGATATGTCGAAATAGCAGAGCAAATGCAAATTGAAACTGGGCTTTACTGTTAATACAGACCAAGGAAGTTTTTTTATATTCATACCAGCGAGCAAAAAGTATCATGTGGATCGAGTTCTGAAGAGACCAGCGGACGTCTCCTTGTCACGATAAATCAACAGAGGTATGTGGTTTCAGACTCAGATTGCGCCCAGTGGTAAGTATATGTCCCACCTGCTTCAACAGTCAGTAACTCTTCATGTTGTATTAATGTTCTCACTGCAAACAGGGATTATTTCCTTAAACAGCATTAAGCGCTCTATCTTCGTAATGGTGAATTATTGAGTTTTCTTTGCGGTACGGGCTTTTTGAACAAGTCCAAGTTCCAATTGCTACAACGTGCTTTTCATGCAGCCATCCCGGTTTAAATTCATCAAAGTTTGACCGCTTACTAAGTAGGCCGCAAAATTATTTGCTTCACTTTCCAAATTACAGATTCAGAAATCACTAACAAGCAAATTACAATTAAGCCGCCTGTTAACAAAGTCTCACTATTCATAACCCCAACAGCTTCAATCTTATTCTATCCTTACCAGTAGGACGAGCTGGCATTGCCTGGGAACCTTCTAACTATAAGCTGTTCTTTGTCCCTCCCCCCGACCAGAAAAAAAGTCTCTCTCACTTCTCCGCCAAAATGTTCTCTTTCCTTCCTCACGCCCTCTCACCCTTTGGCTTCAAAGGGTTAAAGCTTATTTCGTCCTACGGCCTTATATTTTTAATACAGGCGACACCTGAAGACGCCACAAGGCGTAGAATCATGCAATGATTTTATATCACATGCGTGTTACACTGAAATTACGTAAAGCTTCCAATTAAAGTTTAAAATGATTTACAACTCTGTGGAAATTCTTTTTTTTTTTTTTCAAAACTGTACCTAATGAAATGTAATTAACTCCTTACAGCAAGACATTACTTCTACATTCACACAAAGTGCCTGAGAAATCCATTCGGAGAGTAAGTTTACAACATTCGGCCACGTCACCAGCTGGTTGCGGCTTGCAGTTCAAGAAGCATCCGATCTAAAGATGGCTGTCTTCTGGGTTGTAGCGCCGTGTAGTCTGGTAGAAGTTTACCAGCGTTTCAGACGTCCCTGTAACCTCCACCATCAGGGTGATCAGTCATCGCCCAGACTACAAGGCGGTAGAACCCAGAAGACAGCCATCTTCGGACTCTTCATCGTCGTGAGAATCTCAAATCCTACATTCGATCTTAAGTTGGCGGGATTAGGAATAATCGATTGCAGACGTGGACTGGGGCCTGTGTGACAGGCACGCCACGCACTGACTGTACAACACTGGACAGTCTTCATGCTCGATGGCTGCCGTCTTGTGGTAATTCGGAGTCTGAAGAGGAGTGTAACAGAGCGGCAAGTGTAACCACTGGGGAAGTCAGTGGCTTGCACTTCCGGCAAGAGAACGTCCCCATAGCTCAGCGGTCGGTCACACGTCTTGACGCAAATTCACCGCCAATGACAATCCATCACGAAGTAACTGAGACGGGCGAAACGTAACACAGCCCCTTTGATTATACACGAATACCGATCAGATAAGGCATATCTACGAAGTTCCCGTGTCTTATCCCGCCAACATTGGTTATCCTTGTAGATATTTTGTGATTTCTGTTGGTTCCCGATGCGATCTCCTTCACGATCCCTTACAATAAACCACGACCGCGCCCCTTCCTGTTCTAAAAGTTAAGTGATTATCGTTTTAACGTCATATTGATTAAATGCAGTCCTATTTTCAAGAATTGTTATACTGGAGTGACAAATTGACCAGTGGAGCGGTAACCCTGCAATTAGCACATGGAATTCTATAATACAATAACAAAACTCAAAATAAAAATAACCAGTAACAATTTAAATCATAATATTGGATTCATTTATTTGTGTTAACCAGTTAATAACTTCTAGTATTGTGGTGGTTAATTCTATTAATATTTGTAAGGTTATTTTATGACTGTGACTGAACTGCTGAGTCTAAGTATGATTCGGGAGTTGACAATAATAACTTCCGGTGACCTCGTGGCCAATTTAAATTTACAATCCAAAAAAAGCAAGCAATCGAGATATCGTATAATGCGTTTCATCTCCAGTTTTTTGTATCTCATATCTTTTACCCCAAAGAGGGTGCTGCATCGACCACGATCTACATTTCCATTCGAGAGGCAATCGATACAAATGTCAGCTACGCTATTCTATCCGAGGGTTTCCTCAGTCTTTCCAGAGAGTATGTCATGATCACGATCGTCCAGTTATAAACTGCACCTACACTGTAAAAGATATGTAGTTGAAAAACTGATGTTACGTAATCTGTAAATGATAACGAAATATCTTCGGTCGGGATTACCGAGTTCCTTCGCGTTGCGTCGACAGACCTGCAACGATGATCAGTAAATTAATCTCCCACAGTATTAACAAGTTACTTGCTGCCAGAATACAACGCATGCAAGAAGGCACATCTCTGAACGTAAATTTATTTACTGCGGCTGAGTGGTTGGCACTCCTGTCACATTAATGTCCCAGTTTCGTATCTCGACCCACGGATCGGCTATCCCGACTTGAGACATGGATGGTTTGCCACAGACAAATTCGTAATAATGCCTAGAACTAGCCCAGCACCGCTATCTTCCGCACTTCGATTCGTCATTCACGAATTTTGAACTCTCCATGGCCCACGCAGTTGAAGATCGTCATTAAATAAAAACAAGGACCCCCTTCACCCCGAAACCTAACCTAACCTTTCGAACTGCGTTTTCTTTTGCGATTTTGTGACGTGTTTCTACGCTACAGACACTCACCAATGTGGCTGGAAGTTTCGTAGTGAAATCTCAAGCAATTTAAGGATCG